GGAGAGACTAAGAGGAAGAAACAAGGACCTCGTAAAGCACCCAAACCATCAATAAAGAGAACACAGACCCCATTCACACTGAAGACTGAGACAGGAGGGGCTGGGGAGGCCAGTGGTAGTGTAATGGGGTATAATGATGAGAATAAGAGGAAGTCATCAGCCATTAGATCATATGAGGCTAATGTTTGGGTCAAAGAAGAACTGAGAAAAGTAAGTACATTATGAGCCAGTGTCCATTAACGTTACCTTCTCTTCAGTTAGTAGAACAAATCAAGTTAAATGGAAGGCACATTAATAGCAACAAGTACAGTATAACCTTTGGACACTTGATGGACAAAACTGATGGAATGTTTGAAGCAATACTGGGGACACTGCTGACTGCTAGGAGACACCAGGTAAGAGGAGGAGGAGCGAGGGGAAAGGATTAACTGATTTCTGTTTGTGTAGATTGTTCATTTTGAAGGTGATGTACTGCTAAAGGGAGAACACGATTCATCAGTTATAACATTACTTGATGATACTTTAACTTATAATAAAAAACAATAAATAATAACAATGATATAATGTATACACTAGGTCAGCCCTAAAGATTTCTTGACTAATCCAGCTGCAATCTTATTGAACTGATCTCTGTTCTCCCTCCACATTTTCTAAAACACAATTAGAATCACTTATTATTATCAGTAGTAGTATTATTATTATTATTAAAGTATTATTATTGTTTATTTTATGAGTCAGAGAAGGTAATGCCAATAGCTATTAAGAGACCAGAAAGGCATTTATAAACAAAATTAAATAAATAAATAATAACAATTATAATCAAACAATAAACAATCCTTTATTACAAGTACATCATCACTGGTACATATAACTCAACATTATTACCATATTTGGTAAAAGTGACATACATTATGTTCATTGACAACTTTAATTGTTCAATTATTCCCTCCAGTACATGAAAGGTACATCCAAACAGCTCCGAAATCACCCCAAGTTTTTATTATATTTTCTGATACATATTGATGTACTTATGCTGTGTAGAAAGATTGAGCTGATTCAGACTTCAATTTTTCAAGTTACGGTCATTTTAAGAAAACATCAAAATTCTGAAAAGTATCCAAGGCTATAGCCCATGGTTTTTTCCAAAAAAAATGGCTCCAAAATCATCACAAATTTTTACTACATTTTCTTATAAATATTGACGCTCTTATGCTGCGTAGCTGATTCCGACTTCAATTTTTCAAGTTATAGCCATTTAAAAAATTCTTAATGTATATACATGTACACGTACATACAGTAGATTGACTTACTGATGCATCAACGTTAGCTCCACTCTCATCATTCGGTTCTGAGGGAGAGGAGGTCAGTATACTACATGATTAGCCACACCCACTAACCTGCTAACATACTCACTACTGACAATAATATCTTCTCAATCGACTGAACTGGACTCCACCTCTCAGCAGCTGTTTCATAGCCCAATGGATCATCCCCTGGAGTGTGTAATATTGATATACAGACACGCCCATCTAAATACACTGGAGGGGGAGTGGCTAGCTGGGGGGGTTAGTGGGAGCTTACCGTTTGGATGAAATATTTCAGAAATGAATTTCATCTTTGGAGGATTGAGGGGGTAGTCCTGAGGGAAGACCAACTCAGCAGCAAACACTCCTCCATCAAACGGACTGTCCTCAGGACCTCTACATAATGTAAAAAAAACACTTTAATAATTATTAATTTATTTATTTATTTATTGACAGATTATTGTTTGTCCTTCTCACCCACACACACAATTCAAAATTAATAGCTTGACTATAGAGGATATGCGTGCTAAGTATATTCATAGCTTTTTAGTACCGTATATCCAACCCACACAGTAAATTGGCCACCATCTTGGATGTCAAGTTTATTAAGAGTTCAATGGGGGAAAACACATTTTCTCGCCTTGCTACCTTCTTGAGGCCTTTTTCGGAAGCTTAGAAAGCATCCTGAGGATCTAATGGGGTCTAGTAGTCACCTGAAAGATTGCTATCAAGAGATACAGAGCGGTTTCCTAGTACCAAGCCTTTTTCTATCATTTCTCCATTGCTGCCAATGGAAAGCTGACGTCCAACGAACTAATTTTTTTTCTTGAAAGTTATTACGGTATGCAATGAATATAGACCTTTCCCACCAATGCAGCGTTTAGCAATGAATATCATTAACAAGCCGCCATTTCGTGGGATAGATGTACAGTGATGGATGGGCTAAAAGCACTATTTCTTTATTTTCTCCAAGAGAACTGCGAAAGCAAAAACCAAATTGCAGTATGATAACTAAAATTATACAACAAATGTGCAACGAGCATTTCTGTGTGAACTAGAGCTTGCATTTAAAAGGAAAATGGGGAAAGTCACTTTTTGCCCATTCATCTCTGTACATCTATCCCACAACATGGCGGCTCGTTAATGATATTCATTGCTAAATGCTGCATTGGTGGGAAAGGTCTATATTTATTTTGCAATGAATATACTTAGCACGCATATCCTCTATTATTAATTTATTTATTGACGGATCATTGTTTCTCCTTCCCACCCACACACACAATTCAAAATTAATAGCTTGACTATTAATACACTATACACATCAATTATTAATGACTCCTCCCTAAATTAACCACACACAAGATACTAACGTTATCAGTGCCTCCCATTCAAAGAAGTTGTTGTCACTCTTAGGCCCAGCCACTATCCCCTCGGGTGGGTTGAGGGTCAGTTCTACACAAAAGAAGAGAATAAAAAGAAAGGAATTAAATAATGAGGTCACCTTTGTACTCTTGAATGAGCCTCTTCAGAGCAGCCATCTTTACCTGAAGGACACACCTACTGCTGATCTGGCACGTGCATGTGACCACGTGGTTAGGAGCAACAAAATTAATTACAAGAAGAAGGCTCAGACTGTATTTGTCAGTATCACATTTTAACAAAATGGCATCTGGTTCGTCTGAGGGTGAGGGATCTGATACCAGGTGGGACACTGCCTTTAGGAGGGACCTCAGGCATGAACTAAGAGAGAATCTTCTGGAAACACAACGTGAGAGTTCATTAACACTTATACTAACGTGTTAGACTAGCCCTCCTGCAGGTACTAGGGAAGTGATGAGTGTTCCTGATGAGTTATTAAAGAAATTAGAAGAAGGTGACAAGTTGTATGATAAAGGTAAAGATTGCAGTTACTGAACGTATGATTATACCTATCTATGATTATACTGATTGTTGTTATTAGTGGTATCTTCACGTGAAGCAGCTATTGATTCTGAGCACTTCAAACTGCTTTCAGAGATTGCTAGACACCAGAGTCAAAGTTCAAGAGGTGAACTGATTCATTTTGATCAACGGGTTTACTCTGAGAAACTGGTCAGTAATACCATTACTTTTAATGTACATGTACTTATGAGTTTGAGCTGATTCCAACTTTCATTTTTCAATTTATGGCCATTTTCTAAGGTGCCAAAATTTTCTTCTTCTTCTTCTTATTATTATTATTATTATTATTATTATTATTATTATTATTATTATTATTATTATTATTGTGTAGTTGTCACTGATGGGTGGTAGGCTGGGTGGTCCCCCTGACTGGACTGTGTTGGGAAAACTTTTCATTAAATCTTTTAAAGTTGCTCCTACTACACAATTTCTGTGAGTTGCTATAGCAACAAGCCACACCCATTAATCATTAATTAATTAATTAGTCACGGAGCTCTTGATCCAGTGCCAGTCGTTCAGAAAAGTGCACGACAAGCAAAAAGAGCATCAAAATCTGTAACGACAGAAAGACCAAAAGAATTGACAGAGTTTGAAGAAAAGGAAGAGACCACTACAAGAGATGTGTCCATTTTAATAAACACACTCAAGAGAGTGTTTGAAGAGCAAGGGATTGATAAGATTCATTACTTCAAGTTCATCATTGATCCGGAGTCATTCTCACACACTGTGGAGAATATATTCCATTTTGCATTTCTCATTAAGGTATGAGATATACTGAGTTATACTGAGAAATATACTGTGTTATACTGAAATGTACTGAGTTTCTTTTTTGTAGGAGGGTCGGGCTGGTCTAATTATAGAAAACGGGGAACCCTACATTCACTGTAAGACATTGTTTATTATTATTATCATTATTATTATTATTATTATTATTATTATTATTATTATCATTATTATTATTATTATTATTATTATTATTATTATCATTATTATTATTATTATTATTATTATTATTATTATTATTATTATTATTATTATCATTATTATTTTGTTGTTGTTTAGTAAACATTGGAGGGGGTGGGGCTACAGGAGGCACCAATCAAGGTATCATCTCAATCAACATGAAGATGTGGAAGGTAGCTCTATTTATTCATTATTAATTTTTATTGTTAATTTATGGCAGGACTTGATTGACAAGTATGACATCACTGAATCAATGATTAAGAAGAGACAGTGATCACCTCCTCCAATACATTAACTGACATTGATCGTCTGCTGTAACTGACTCAGTCATTTAATCACTTCATTTATTACAAAAAATATTTACATCATCTGATCATCATACAAAAATAATAATAATATCAATTATAGTAAACTGGATTAGTTAGTTTCGGTAGAAAATAAATAAATCCAGCTAGTCCAGCAACATAAGCTACACTGACCAGATACCTGTACTTGTGCTGTCGTAGACCAATAAAGTTTGGTAGTCCCAATACATTACACAATGAGTGAGACAAGACGGGAGTGACCAGGTGACCTGTTCTAATGAATAAATAGGAACTGAACATTCCAAATAAGGAGGTGTATGTTGTTTGAAATAAAGCATTAATTATTCCTAACAGTAGGGGCTCCCCCTCATGAAGGTAGCGACCAATGAGGTGATGGATGTGAGCCAGTCCAAAGAACAAAGGTCCAATGATGATAGTCCAGGAGGACTGGAGGTGAGGGAGGAGTAGGGGGACCATACAACCCCTAAAGACTACCTCTTCTGCTAACGGAGCCACCACATAATTGCGTAATATGATATCGGGTCTTTCATCAGCTAAAGGGTTAACCAGACCCTCTGATGTGAGGGTCTGGAGTATCGGTCCAGCATACAGGAGTGGTATCAGTATAAAGGGAATCGTAACTGAGCGGAGGAGACCCTCTGTTTTGATCCCGAGGAGTTGGAGGAGAGTTGGAAGAGGAGGATACCCTGCCAGAACATAGAGGAGGAGAGGGGAGGCAATGGTTACCATGGTTACTGCAGTGATCCTTCTCTTGACTGTCAGTGGGTGATCACGTGATCTCCCTCCATCAGCAAGGTAGAGACTGAGAACAAAGGAACCAGCCAAACCGAAACAGGCCAAGAGAGAAGAGGAGAGGGAGAGAGAGGAGAGAGACACAGCAGGCATTATGACACCAGTTTACACCTAATAATTAATCAATTAATTATTGAGCCACACCCACTTTAATTTTTAACCTATTATGGTTGTCATGGTAACAGACATACAAGATGGCTGATTCAAGAGAGTAAGTATTTTTGGTCTGATTGTTTGGTTTATCTATTGATGGCAGACAGTCAGCAGCAGCAACCATTGAAAGGACCTGGCTCAGCTATAAAGACAGGCAACTTTTCAAGACAATCAAATACGCCATTTGCTCCTCAGTAAGAGAAAGAGAGCGGAATATAGGAACAGTCCTTTCATTCCAACTCTAGGAACACTCGCTGACTCATGAGGTGCTCCGTAAACTGAGCCCAAGGGAAAGCTCACTACTGAAAGATCCTTCACTGACCACTAAAGTGAAGTTCAGGTATTGATCCAAAGCAGGGGCTGCCTTTTATTAATGATTGATGGTCACTGCCTCTGCTTTAGGTTGGATGGTACAAGATGGCCTCCATTCATTGTTTTTAAGATATTCTCAAAGTCACAATCAGTTTGTTATATAAGTGGAAAGAACATGCTAAGACCATCAACTGAAGTAAGCCATCAACCAACCAACCAGCCAATGAAGTGAATGAATGAATGGATTATATTCTTAATGTCTCTACCCTATAGGCAGCAGAAGATGCTAGACAGCTGATGGGTAATCGTGTCTACTTCAATCAGTTTCTATCAGACACTTACACTCACCACCAACTGTCAATCACTGACATACATGATATTGGAACTGTCAAGGACTACATGAAAGTACATCATCATATGACATCACATTACATCACATTACATCATCCCTCTACAGTATGCTGCTAACCTTGATGAGACCCCAGCAGTCCATGGAGGAAAGGAGAATTACTGGAGGAGACTGGAACTGGAAAGTGAATGAATTATTATCACTAATGATACTGTACTATTATACATTAATTTTATTGGACACAGACTTACCGAGAGTGGAGCTATCCTCAGTCCACACTAAGTACTGGAGTGTAGCTGATAGACCAGTGAGCGCTTCAAGCACTGAACCACTGTCCACCAGTTCATCATCATACCTATCAACACCAGTGAGGAGTGAATCAGTGTAAGAGCACTACCTGTACTGTAGTGGGTTTCTCCAGTAAAGATTATTATTATCATGATTATTATTTAGTAGCAGGAGACAGACGACCACTCCAACTAGTGCCAGTAGTTTGGAGAGAGCCAGGGGATCAAGACTAGCTATGAAGAGGGTTAACAAAATGAGACAATCCTTCACCAATGGACACACACCAACAAAGGAACAAGTACATTATCCACTTTTATTATCCTGAATGCCTAAAGTACATGTACATGTACCAAGCATGTATATGTGTACATTGTATGTTAATTGGTGGCCACCCACAGGTTGAAGATGATGATACATTACTGGAGGAGGAAGATGATGTAGAAATAATGGAATTATTTCAATGGACACAGGACCTTTCACTGGAAGAACTCAACAATTAATCCGGCAATTATTTTCATTAATTTTTTATAATAAAACATACTCAAGCAGGAGACTTTCACAGTAATAATAATAATTATTAATTTTTTATTCAAAACCCAACGACCTATAGTTAGTGTATGTGAGTACAGCAATCATTAATGTATAGTAACATGAGCTGGTTCAATCAATCAATCTTCACTATTGTGTATATCTTCCATACAAACCAGAAACAAGCAGTGAAACCAATCGTACCTAGTTAATAAAATAAATACAAGTATTTTATTACAGAATGTGTACAGTGCATGTACTATATATAGTTTGAAGGTGTGAGAGAGCCACGTACCAGTAAATATGAAGAACAAAAAGACGATGATTGAAGTGTAGCCAAAGAAGAGAAGCATACTCAATGATCCTGTGATCTGAGCCTTGAAGAAATAATGGACACTGAACAATAGGAAATAAAAAGAAGTAGTCCCAGTAGAAAAGAAAGACCTCCACCACCAGCGATAGTCCTCAGTACAAAGGTGAAAGTAACACAATAAGATACTGGTCTCAGCACAGACCACTAGGAGTATGAGGTAAGCCAGAGAGACAAAACCAAACATGTAATACATCTGACCAGTCCTTCATATAATGAGGGGGAGGGTTGAGGTAATGCATGAATGCATAATGTATTTACCAGAGGCTGTTGATGATGTAGAATAACTGGATGAATATACAGCCAAAGGGTAGTATCCCTCCCATCAGTGAGCTGGGGAGAGGGTGGGACAGCCAGTTCTGGATTGGGATCTCTCTAGGGATCTGATTGGTCTTCACTGGAGGACTAGCAGGCTATGGAAATAAAATAATAAATTAATAATAATAATTAATAGTGTGAGCATGTACATCAGGAAATGTGAAAAAATGGAGAAAACTCAACTTTTCATTACTGGAAATCGTGGCAAAATTTGGTTCAAGATCATGCACTATAGTACAGGGACTTCTGTCAGATTTTAGAGCAACTTTAAAAAATCATAAGATTGATCGGAAATAGCTCAAACTTTCTACACAACATCAGTACATGTACATGAATTGATTAAACATAATTATTTCATAACTTACAACTCTCCTAAACCCGAGGAATGACCCAATGAATGTGAGTGGTAGTGATATACCAAACCAGAGGCAGAGGAGTGCCAGTAGTGTAGTGAAAGGAATAGCAGCACTGGACTTAGCTCCCCAAAGGAAGAGGTTCAACACAAAGAATATAGCAAAGACGACACCAGGGACAAGGAGGGCACTCATCAGGACATTGGTCTTCCATCGCAACCCACCCATGACTGTAGAGAGGAGAGAATAACCAGCAATATAAAATGAATATGATTAAATCAGATCAATATGCATGGAGTACACTTACAGGTACAGTAACTTACATTTGTATAGTCGTGCTGATACATAGCCAGCAACAGCTCCAAAGAATACAAACAATATCTATTAATAATAATAATAATAATAATAATAATAATAATATAATTAATAATCAGCCACACCCACTTACCAGTACAGCTGTCATGAATGCTCCTCGATTAGGAGGTGATAGAAACCCAAGACAAGCAAACACTATAAGAATACAAGACAAGAACACAATGACACCAACTTATATACTGAATCATATACTACATTCATTACATGAGGTTCGATTAAAGATTGTATTACATGTAATATCACATGTACACGTGTATTACATGTATATACATGTACATGTACCTAGTGTAATGATGGCCATACACATGAACTGAGACCCCACCCCCAGGAACACTGACAGGATCATTGGATGAGTGGGAGGACGGAACACGTCTCCATGAACCAACTTCCAACCAAAATCCTCCTGCATGTCCTCCTATTGGAAACACATGAACACCATCATTAATACATTAATACATTAATATAATACATTAATACATTAATACATGTACAGACTAGCCTCTATATAATGGACACTGTGTCTCTGTTATACAGAGGTGTCCTTTATGTGGGGGTTATTTTATACAGTAAGGAATGTAATTGGTACACTAGGTGCTGTCCGTTAAATGGAGGTGTACGCTATAGAGAGTGTCCATTAAAAGAGGCTATACTGTACATGTACAGTGTGTATATTAGGCTCACCATATTATCGGATTTATTATATCTGGCCAGGTCCCTGTACAATGACCTGATGAGTATCATCCCAACCATTGCTGAGAGGAATATAGTGATTAGTACTGAGTTGATGAGAGAGAACCATTGGACACTGCTAGTGGTCACATTATCAAGAACATAGTCCCACCTTGAGGCCCACCGGATAGCATTGTTTTGCTAAATAATAATGATACATTAACATTAACACTGATACATTAACACTGATATATTAACACTGATACATTAACACTGATACATTAACACTGATACATTAACACTGATACATTAACACTGATATATTAACACTGATACATTAACACTGATATATTAACACTGATACATTAACACTGATATATTAACACAGATACATTAACACTGATACATTAACACTGATACATTAACACTGATACATTAACACTGATACATTAACACTGATACATTATCACTGATACATTATCACTGATATATTAACACTGATCGCTCACCATGAAGACCACAGAGTATGAGTATTGTATATTGATGTCTCCTTTCTTCTTCAGTTTGACTGGTTTAGAGGCAGCAGTACAAGGAGGGGACTCACAGGAGGCCAGAGCTACTGACGTCTTCACAATATGACCATCATTATTAGTGCCGGAATGATACCATATAAGGAACTGTACATGATTGAATATATAGGTACTGCCGGGGGCTTTGAGCTGAGGCTAACCAAGAAAATAATAATATAAATACATGAATTAATAATTATATTAAATACAGTACTAGTAACAGACTAGTAGTTACAATAGCTGGTTCCTTACTGATATGTAACATGCGTCTTGTCTGGTCCCGTCTTTACTGACGTGACAGCCGACAGGGAATCTTGTGGTACAGTACTGCTTATCAGTAGTGGCCATGTGGTAGCACCAGGTCACTGGCATATTATCAATGACCCACGAGTGCATGTAGCCCTCTATGATCCTCTCACGCAAAAAATGAACAATCTTACGGTCCTTCTTAGTCTTGAGGGAGTAGGTCTTCTTGCAAAGGTTCTGATTGGTCACGTTCCTCCTGTACATTATCTTGTAAGGAGACGCTCTCAGTCTCTCACCAAACACGACCTGTCCAAGGTTCTCTGGAGGATCTTTATCAGCCCATTCTGTAGGAACATCACAGAAATCAAAACTACAGAAAATAGAAACAAATACAATACAATATAATACAATATAATATAATACAGTACAGTAGAGTACAGTACAGTACAGTACAATACAATACAATACAATACAATACAATACAAGTACATGTACATTGTAGCATGTACTATTGACATTGTGGCTAGCAATACAATGACAGGTACATGTAGTTTGAACAGTATCAGGTAACAAATAAAAAGTACCTCACTAATTATTAATTAGTGATAGTGATGTAATGCTTGGAGTCAGTCCAGGAATGTACGTAGTACTGCCACCTGTACATCTTTAAGGAGGGGCGGGGCATTTCAAGAAAACACCAAAATTCTGAAAAGTACCCAAGGCTATAGTCCATGGTTTTTTCCAAAAAATGGCTCCAAAGTCATCCCAAATTTTTATTAAATTTTCTGATACATATTGATGTCCTTATGCTGTGTAGCAAGTTTGAGCTGATTCTGACTTTAATTTTTCAAGTTACAGCCATTTTAAGAAAACGTCAAAATCCTGAAAAATACCCAAGGCTATAGCCCATGGTTTTTTCCAAAAAATGGCTCTGAAATCACCCCAAATTTTTATTACATTTTCTGATACATATTGATGTCCTTATGCTGTGTAGCAAGTTTGAGCTGATTCCAAATTTAATTTTTCAAGTTATAGCAATTGCCAAAAATACCCAGCACTACAACTTAATGATTCTAATTAAAGCCCATCCTTACCTGTTATGTTCGTAAGGTACTATATTCTCAACAGAGTATAATCTATTGACATGAACAAAGACCTGAGCCTAGAGGAGGGGGAGGGAAGAGTGATGGACATTTTAAAATGTCTCCTTTACCTGACAGGATGGAGGGGGCTCCTCCTTTAGGGCATCTTCAGGACAGAAATTAGTTGGAGCTAGTCCAGGGAGATAGAACCCGCTGGCTGAGAGGAGGGGGAGGAGGAGAAGGAACCTTATCATGGAGCTGGACATTCTACCCTAACTACCACCAATTATTTAAACGGCATAAACGTAAAACGTGTCACTAGAATACGGAATTCAAAGGTAGGATACGGATTGACCTTTGAAGTATACGGATAGTAACACGGAATCAACTTTCAAAGAAGAAAATAGATATCCGGAAGAAGACTATCCGGAAATCCTTAAAGCTATGCCTCTTCTATTCAACAGAGATGTTAGTTTTTGTAAGAAAGAGAGAGAGGGAGAGGGAATGAGTTCTTATCTTTCATTCATTAGATGGTTCCCCAGTCACTAAGTGTATCGTAATACTAGCCACTGTGACCTCTCTATTCACTATTGTACCAACCACTAATGTAGCTAACTACACTGATAAAGTAATCATATAATTGTTATTATTATTATTGTTGTTGTTGTTAGTTTTTATTTGCTCTTTCTTGTTGTTCATTTCCTTCATTGGGTACATGGATGGTGGGTGTGGTCTTAATGTATTGGACACGCCCACTAGAACGCCACTTAGGATCAGTCAAGTTTATGGTAAAGAAATTAATCAACATCATCATCATCATTACTGGTACCCTTTCCTTCCTCTAGCGGACGGTATTATCATCAGTTGTATATTCATTATTAATCTATTCATTAATTAAACTGCTACCATCAGTCATTCCTTTATTCAACCTCATGTTACTGTGAGTCATGACACTTTCATCATTACTGAGTTATGTACTAGTAAATGTCCCTTTGGTCTATGACGGCTCCAAAATGTCCCTCATGACGCAACATGAACATGTTGTGTCATGTTACTGTACATGTGATGTGAAGGTATAGGTTTGTTCAATATTCATAAAGTAATCTTGGGAAAATATTCAAATACTTTCATTTTGTACAATACATTTTGTATGTGTTTGTTTGAGGTTCATGTAGCCTTCCATACCTGCTCATGACAGACATAAACACTGAGTCATACCCTACTACCAGTACCTGTTTCAACTCTAGCCTGTTTGTTATTAGTCATCTCTCTGACATGTTCATCTATACCTTTATCCTTCCCTCTCTCTCTCTCTCTCTCTTTCCTGTAGAGTAGTTGGATCATTAGTTAGTCTGTTTATTCTCAGTGTTAGAGGAAATAGTCTCATTCACTTTCATTTGATACACATCTCATCTCATTCACTCATACTCCTCTTCTTAGCCGGGGTATGTACTTTAAACATCAACCAATAGTCTACCTCGCTCTCCCCCCCTCTCTCTCTCTCTCCCTCCCTCCCTCTCCCTCTCTCCCCTCTCTTTCTCAGTTAATAGTTAATGTCCCAGGTTCATGGCCCACTGTCTCCTCTGGCCTATTAGGAGGGACTCTGTCCTTCTTCATTGGTTCTCTTCCCTTCCCTTCTCTCCTTCTCTCTCCCCTTGTCTCTTTATTCGAGAGGCTAGTTGTAGAGAAACACCCCGAGCTGTTGTCAGGGGCAACAATATCAGTACAAAGACAACAGCAAGTGGACCTCCTTGAAGGGATCATGATGACACTGCAACAGAGAAGACTAGTAATGGACACCATGTAGCCATTATTATTATTATTATATTTATGTAGGAGCAGCAGTCCAGACCAGGTGGTGCTGGAGGTGGCTATGCTCCAACTGAAGATCAAGTTAGACTGTTGGTTGGTATGGGGTTCAGGTCTGATGAGTCAAGAGCTGCTCTCATTAGAGGAAATGGTCAAATACATGAAGCTATACAACTACTGACTACTAATCAACAGCACAGACTCTGATCATCATCTTATACTGTATTCACATGTATATATACTGTATGTTCTGTGTTTCCATGTATCTGTCTATTGTACGTATACTATACACATGTACTGTACTGTACTGTGTTTCATTGTGAGTGTGTGTATTTCTCAAGTGGCAGTGTATTTATTTGGGAGCAATCTTTTATTATTATTATTATAAACAATGTCCCTCTTCTTGGAATTCTGTAAAATCAGCAGAGATGGATGCAGACAGTGACAGGAAGGATGTCTAGTGTACACTGTGTCCTTTAATTAGTCTCTCTCTACTGCTGCAGTAGCATAAGTACATGTATATATACATGGCTGGTATTTCCCTCTCATATTTTAATTAACCACTGAGCTAGTTAATTAAATCTTGCACCAGGCCAGTACTTGTTCTCTTGGAATCAGCTTTACTGAAGAGAGGAATGAACCACAACTCTCTCTTTCTGTTCTTCTGTCTTCTTCAACTATCCACCAGCGGTTATACTGATATATCGGTCAGTCCTGGTACTCTTGTATCGAGAGATGAAGCTGCTAGCTGCAGACAGCACAGGACTATAGTATGCGAGGTAAGCTCGGGCCATAGATACGAGATATGCCGCATAGGAATGGCTTGATGTGAGTAGAGGCACAGCTCAAGCTGTATGGTATCCTTAATGGATCTTTAGTGTGTCCCATTAGTTAATATGGCATCTATTGATGTGTGAAGCAATTAGTTTTACATTCCTTGCAATGACTGGAGTACTTGATATCTTTGAGCTTGTGTCCATCATTCTTTCACCAGTATAATGATTAAGGAGAACTTTTAAAATGGTTCTCTGTAGTGCGTCAGCCTTCACTTGATTTATGTACATGCATAAGTTGTGGTGCAGTTAAGTTTATTCTCTCCATTATCAAGCAATGGGCCTGTGACCAGTAGTAGTCTCATGCAGTGCTTAGAGGACTGTGTGTTTACTGGTGGATGTGTGTAGGCGGGTTTAAGTGGTTGGGAAGGGAAGTTACAAAGGAGGGACCTAACCCACAGTAAAGAACCTTTAATAAACCACAGGCTAACATCAGGTCTTCTTTCTGTCTGTCAGACCAGGTGCTCCAATGCTTGGGAACCTTTTGTTATTGTTCAATGAAAGAATGAGAATAATGATTGATAGTATGTTTATGAACCTCTCTCTCTCTCTTTCTTTCCCTCCAGTCCAATCCTGTGGTATCATTAACTCAATCAGTGTACAATCTTGGTAAATGAATGATCCATTGATTCATTATTTTATCATTACATTAATTCTTATAGCTCTTTTTGATCCAGCACGCATTCCTTCAGCCTCTATGTGTCCGAGCAGTACTTGTTGGAGCCCCCCACCATTGAAGTATCAGTTACTGCATGATTCTGGAAGTATACATTGGACACTAATAGTGAGGTGGGAGACTCCTCCAGCTAATGGTATTTGTATTATTTGTCCTTTAATTTGATTATCATTATTACTACTAATACTAGTGAACTGTAGTCTAATGGAGTATCAGGTTGTACTGGATAGAAGAGATACTGTTACCAATTTAACTTGTGCTAGTATTTCAACACAGCAGTCATGGATATTTGGACCATTCAATAATGTAAAAAATCAATAATAATATAATAATGATTATTATGTTTTTTTAGACTGTCAGTCATATTTATTTTCATCAGCCTTTTTTGTCTTTTCCTGGACCACACCAGTATCACATAAAGGTTGGTAGTACCATTAGTTAAAGTTTTATTCATTATCATTAGGTGATTGGTTTAGGAATAGAGTATCCATTGCTAGTAGTTAATACTCCTATTAAATGTACTCAGCAGTACTTCACTGGGTGTCAGAACTGTGAAGATGATTCATGCAATCGTAAGCTGTTACATTATGTAATAGTTATGGGGTTTCTTATGTTATGATGTGCTTTTGGAGACAAAGCTTTAAAATTAATCATTTTTGTCAAATTTGGCAGAAATATATAATCATTAATTAATGCACAACCTCTTCTTTTATAGCTGATGACTCACCTCCATTTCTTAATGTGAGCATTACTGATAGTTCATCACCTCATGGTCTCCATGTCCTAGTGTCTATAACTGAATCTAATGCTCAGGAGTATTTCTTACACACTCTTTCCTCAGGGAGAAAAATGCTACATAAACTAAATCAAGTACTAAAATCACAAACATACTTCAATACAATAACTACACACACACACACTAGCTGATAAACTGTATTCATGCTCAGTATTATTATGTACATGTGCTCCATCATTTTCAGTATAGTCCATTCTTGTATGATCTTAGAGGAAGTTTTCATCAAATTTACTAAAACATATCAACAGACTCCAGTGTACATAAACTATACACTTATGCTGCTAGTGCTTTGTAGAATACACTAATATACAGTATTATGATCATTTCCTGATATTGTTTTCTTTCCCCAGGGCACTAGACATGTCTACTTGTCTGGGGTTCCTCCTGATAATGAGACACTGATCTGGCTAGAGAAGTTCTCCTGTGGCTGCTCCAACAGTTCACTCGTGTACAGGATCAATGGTAATGAGTATTTATAAACTAATTGCATTTTCCGGATTTTTTTGTTACTATTATAGGCTCAAACTACACCACAATCATGAGTACGAGTCATTCCTCAATTATGAAACCAACTCCTCCATACACGCTCACACCATCACCTCCTACAACCGATAACCAACCACCAGCAACTTCTATTAATAGTAACATGATGTCTATTAATAGTACCACAATGTCTGTTAATAGTAACACAATGCCTATTAATAGTAACACGGTCTCCATTAATAGTACAGTATCCTCTACCCCCAGCAGTGCCCCCTCTACTAACAATAGGACCAATATGTTAATACTGATAATACTCCCAGTCTCACTGGTCCTAGTGGCTCTATTGATAGTCCTGGCAGTGATTGGGTTTCTACTGCACAAGAGGAGGAACAAGTGTGTGGATACAGTCTGTTCTGATCTACCCCCACCATTAAGCTCACCCGACAGTGCTACCATTAACAATACCATGATGAAATACTTCCATCACTCACCCACCAGTCATTCAGCCAGTACTAGTGTCATCAGTATCATCCCCCATGACACAGTGTCTGATGATAAAGAAGCTTATCATGCTTACTTGAATGAGCTGGTACCTCATGGAGCTAGTCTAGAGGTTTACTGTCGGTCGTTGCGAGTGACCCCAGCCGACTGGCTCCAGTCTGTGTTTAAGAGAGACTCCATAGTACTGATACTCATCAATGAGGAGTTTAATGATGAGTGGAACGGTCATTCTGTCTCAGATGTACCAGTAGTCTTTGCATTGAAGCAGTTGGTTCATTCTCTTGTCCAGCAAAGCCTAGAACTAAAGAACTTCCTGATAATACTACCCACCCCAGCAGATAAGAAGCATATCCCTGACTATTACCTATTCCATACCCTCCAGCGGTTCGACCTACAGGATACTGAAGGAATTGCTAGATACATCTTTAAAGTACCGGAATTCACTGTAGACAGCACCTGCTAGTGATCACTGATACTACCCTTCACTAACCCAACATCTCTCTCTCTCTCTCTCTCTCTCTCCTCATTCTCATTCACATTTCACTTGATTCATTCCTCCAGTATTATGTACCATAGTTATTATTTGATTTTCCGAAATCATCTTTTAAAATCAATAATAATAATAATTAATGATTAATAATAATAATACAATCCTTCTTTCTGATGTTATGACAATACCTCATCTAGAGATAAGTACACAGTTCATATCATTACATAATTCAGTCTCAGTCATACCTTGCAGTTTCTGTATACTGTATATATGTCTCTCAAGAGCTGCTACTCTTCTCTCTGCAGCTCTAGCTCTTTCAATGGCTCTGTCTCTCTCAGCAGTCAGAGCATCCTGAGCTGATAATGACTGGATTAACTGGTCAGACAAATTACCTTATTAGGAGAAAAGTAAATCAAGTACAATACAGTACAGTATAGTCTATATAAACTGATAGAGTGTCACTTGTTGTACCAAGATATTCTTAAAATGGCCGTAACTTTAAAAATTGATGTCGGAATCAGCTCAAACTTTCTACAGAGCATAAGTACATCAATATGTATCAAAAAATGTAATAAAAATTTGGGGTGATATCGGAGCCATTTTTTGGGAAAAACCATGGGCTATAGCCTTGGGTACTTTCAGATTTTTGATGTTTTCTTAAAATGGCCGTAACTTGGAAAATTGATGTCGGAATCAGTTCAAACTTTCTACACAGCATAAGTACATCAATATGTATCAAAAAATGTAATAAAAATTTGGGGTGATTTCGGAGCCATTTTTTGGAAAAACCATGGGCTATAGCCGTGGGTATTATTCAGATTTTTGACGCTTTCTTAAAATGGCCGTAACTTGAAAAATTGATGTCGGAATCAGCTCAAACTTGCTACACAGCATAAGGACAAATAAATTTAGAGTCTTTGGTCAAAATTTCATCAAAATTGAAAAGGAGAGACTTCTTCAATTTCATACTCACTTGATTTAGTGATTATGTTCAATTGTTTCTGAGTCTCTTTTAGTTCATTTCTTGTCACTTGCAATTGATTATCCAACCTCTTGATCTCACCAACCAACTCCTCAACAACCTCTATTAATAATAATAATAATAATAATAATAATAATAATAATAATAATAATAAATTAATTAATTAATCAACACATACCTACTGCTCTGTGTGTGGGGTGGTCCTGCAACTAAAATATTAATTAATAAAGTTAATAAAATATTTATTTATTTACTTCGCTGGAATCTTCTCCTGATCCTTCACAATCCTCAGCCTTATAAGGAAATAAAATTAAGTACGATTAACCATTAAATTATGCAGGAAATAATTTTAAAAATAAATTAATTTGAAGATTTATATTTGATTGATTTGGCTGTGAATTTTATTACTAAAATATCCTCCAATTACCTGATTAATTAAGAATTCATTATTAATAAACTGAGGGGAGCCACTTTTACCATCACTGACGACATCATCACTATTATTAGTAACACTGTTACTATTAATAGTAACACTGATACTATTATTAGTAACATCCTCAATACTATTTTCAATGATGTCACAGCTATTATTAGTACCATAATGGCCACACCCCTCATTATCGGCAGGTGATTTCAGGAACCTCCCTCTCTTGCATTCCGGCATGTCTAGGATATTCGGCTCAGCATCTATGGGGGCGCGGTTTCTCCTGACCACGCCCATATTGGTATGAGAGAACTTCTCAATGACAAACTTCCATCTTTCCTTTTGCTGCTTTTTATCAATGTCCTGCCAATGTAAAAAAATGGAGAGTTGTCTACCTTTCATTTTTAATGAAATTTGGCCAAAATCCCTGTACAAGGACTTTTTTCTGATTTTGGAGCAACTTAAAAAATTCATACAAAATCCAATTTTAATCAGAATCAGTTTAAACTTCCTACGCAACATAAAAACATGTATATACATCAGAAAATGTAATAAAAATTGAGATTTCTCTAATTTTTAATTTTGGAAAAATTTGGCTCAAGATTTTGGCCCAATTTCAAAAAAAATTTATTATTATTATTATTATTATACTAACCTGCGATACCAGAGGTACTAAACAGCGTCTCCACATTCGAGAGCGACAAGGTACAATATTAGGAGGGAGGGCAGGGCAGGAGTGATGGATATACTGGCCAGGAGGATAGAGTGACTTGCAGCCATGACACAAGAGGCATGGAGCATTGGCCTTAGTGTAGAGGTTGATGAAGAAGGTTCCGTAAGCAACAGCAAGACATCGGTGGAACACATCAAACGTGTTCTGCAACTCAACTAAAGAAAGAGGAGGTATTTAATAATAATAGCTGGTAATTTCAGAGGTCTGGAACAAATTTGGTAAAATATTATTGATTGGCTGGTTTTAATTTGACAAATTCTACCATTAAAATGATGGTATGAAATTGTGGCCAGGTTTTATTTTAACAAAATAGCCAAAATCACTAAAAAGTTCCTCTTCTAAATTACCAGCCTACTGTACTGCATAGTGGGAAATTTGAGAAGGAATATAATTTGGTTAATTGCTAAATTTTGGCGATTGGTGAATTAGTGGCCAAGTGCCATTGAGCATGCGCATAATGGCTCAAAATGGTGGATTTAATTTTGGCAAATGGCTATTGAAACACCAAATTTGTCAAATTTAATTCCCTCCATAATTCCCCCGCTATACAGTATAATAATAATAATAACAATACAAAGGTGTGTAAATGTGCAGTAGCTTACAAGGAAGTGATTGCTTGTCGTTATCATGGGACACCATCAGAGACAGGACCTGCTGGCCCATAGCCTGAGCCTGGGATGGGGTACATCTCTCCTTAGGACCGACTGGACACAACTGAACCGCCAAAGAAACACCAGGTCCAATACTGGTAGTAACAGGAGGGGCGGGGCTATTGATAGGAGGGGCGGGGCTACTGGTTGCTCCCTTTATAAAGGACTGGTTTGATGAGGTGGGAGTGGGTTCATTCCCTCCCAATAGTAACGGAGGATTAGTGGGTGTGGCCTCATTAAATAAATGAACAGGACCAGCTAATGAGGTATTGATTGAGGGGGCGTGGTCACTGGAGGGGGAGGGGCTAACGACCAGTGGTTTGTAATAAGGAGAGAGAGAATGAGAAGTTAATTCATCAGTTTTAGACACTTCTAATAATTGAACATTAATTAATAATAATAATTACAGTACAGTATAGTGCTTCATTTTTGGAGCAAAAGTTTCACAGGTACTCAATGTCAGTGTCGTCCATTTAACGGAAATTGAATATTAAGCAAAAAATGGTAATGTGCAAGAATCACTCCTCAAAAATAAAGCACTATACAGTAATAATAATAATAATAATAATAATAATAATAATAATAATAATAATAATAATAATAATAAACTGGAACTTGACTACAGATGCTCACGTGATGTTGGTAGACACACAATGTTGTGCTTGGAGAGCTGATTCCCTTCATCACTGATACCTACCAATAGACAGCATACACTACCAGTATCAGTACCAGTAACAATACACTAACCAGAGCCACTGGAGACTGGGTACTGATGAATATCTTTAATATCAGCCATCACCTTCAACTACTGACCACTGGAAGGAGAGGGTACTGGAGTCTAATGGAGTAATGGAGGAGAGTGGAGGAGGTGAGGGAGAGAAGTGACTGTGTGGTTAAACTGTGACGTCATTATCTACAAACACACACCACACACACTCACTACATACTACACTAACTACACCAGCACTAGTACATGTACATGTACAGCCACACCTTCAGTGAGGCTCCACCCACTCATTAATAATTGGGTGGGGTGTGGTTTGGTTGCCTAGGAAACTGCCAAACAAGATGGCGACCAGTTCTGCTCCTGATTATGAAGGTGAGGTTAGGGAGCTGGTCCAGTCCCTCATCGCTGGTTGTATTCAAGAGATATCCAGTGAAGTACCTTTAGAGACCATTAGTATACCAACAGGGCCGGAGATAAACCCAGAGGAGTGTATGGAGACCATTGAAGAACTCATTAAAGTAAAAACTGGAGAATTCATTACATTTTATCATGTATATAAATGTACTTATGCTGTGTGTTAACATTTCAGTAAAATTTAGATTCTTTATAAATTTTTAAAGTTACCCAACAGTTTGGCCAAAGTCCCCGTACTTTTATCATAATGTTAAATTTTGTCAAAATTAAAAGGAGAGAATTCTACATTTACGTAATGCATTTATCATATCATTGTTATCATTATTATTATTATTATTATTATTATTATTATTATTATCATTATTATTATTATTATTATTATTATTGATAGAGTTGGGATCTTGACGGTAGTTGGTTGCACCACACCTCATACACTGGAGTTAGGTCGGTTGGAGGTAGAGCCATCCACTCCTTCAGCGTGATGTTCAGTCAGCCATCAAGAAGGAAACCAGCTCCTAGAGCTACAGCTTCAGTGTTCTTCTTCTTCATTGTAGAGGGAGAGGGGACAGAGACTAGTACTACAGTGTTTTATGTGGTGGAGAGTCAGCGAGTCGTGTTAAGGTACAATATGAGAACAGAATTATATACATCATCACCATAGACCATAATAGTAACCTCTGTGTGTGTGTCTGGAGGTGAGTATCAGTAATGTAATACCTGAGTCCCTTGATATCTGCCCTCAGCTTCACCTCAAGCAGATATCTCAGTCCTAAGGTATTACATTACTTATACCGTATTTCCTCGTGGAAACGCCTAGGCGTTTATTTCTTATAGAGACCTGTTTGCTAGGCGTTTAAATGAAGTAGGCGTTTATACGAGGTGGGCGTTTATAACCCAAAAATAATCCTTACCACCATGTTTCAATAGACACAACGCGTAGTTTAAAACTGACATCAAAACTTCTGAGTTTCTTTAGCCTTCTCAGCTGCAGCTGCCATTGTAGAATGTAAACTACTAAACTACGTAAGGTACACGTACCACGTGGATGGGGCAGGTGGGTGTGGTATAGGCTTTTAATCAAGAATGGGCGTCTAAACAAGCATGGGCGTTTATTGTCAAAGTTATGTGCTGTCTCTAGGCGTTTATACAGGCATGGGCGTTTATAGGGAGTAGGCGTTTCCACGAGGAAATACGGTACACACACACCTCCAGACAGGCTGGACTACATGTACATGTATTATTATTATTATTATTATTATTTTCTTAACTCAATAGACCTTCTACTCCGTTTCGTGAGGTTTGGCTACGTAAAATCATCAGTAGCAAACTAGAAATAAACTCACGAATAACACTCAAATAAACAGACAGTCATACCATGTATGTACTGTATGTACACCATGTACTGTATGCGTCTTTTGTTTTCAATATTTACTAACAATTATTGACTATTGTATCAACTAAAACACATAAAATAAAAATAATACTCATAATAATAATAATAATAATAATAATAATAATAATAATAATAATAATAATAATAATAATAATAATAATAATAATAATAATAATAATAATAATAATAATAATAATAATCACATCACTAGCAAACAAAATGTGAGTGGAAAAGTTGATCATAACAAATAACCAGTTGATATTAACACAACCTGATTAACTAATAATTAAATAATAATTAGACTGCGTCTAATCATTGGAAAGAGAATTCAATGTCCAAGAGAGAAAGAAAGAGAGAGAGAGAGGGGACATTAAACAAGGTAAGTGTGTTTACAACATAATAATAGAATGAGGTCACATCATGATATTCTTGATAGTCCCGTTGTCAGGTACATCTTTGATTCATTGTTGGTGTAGATGGGGGCCATCTTATAGTGCTCTATCAGCTCGTCCATTGAATCAAACTTCCTCTGTCCTATCCCTAACCGCCCGTCAGGAAGTAGCTTAATGTTAAAGTGCTTAGTTCGATCGGGGGCCTTCATCGATATGGAATAATCTCCGGGCTTTAATTAGAAAAAAAAGAAGAGTATAAAATACATAGTCCAGCAGGTGTCATTATTATTACTGGGCTTTAATTAGAAAAGTAATGTTTAGTAAATGAATGTGTGAGCGCTCGTGCATATCAATAACAGGCTGTTTATAATTAATAATTAATCAATAATTTAAAATACATTATCAAGGGAGAATGGCACGTGTATATGTATTATGAACTAGTAACACTGGGCCTAGAGATTAATGTGAGGAATGATTCCATTATAATACATTCAATTATGATAAAAGGAATCAGCTGAGACCATTCATTAAAAGACATTTAAATGAAAAATTCATTTTAATGAAACCAGCAAAAGTATAGAGTGTCTATCAGTAGTGATAGGCTATGTTTAACGGCCATGTTTATTATTGGATGGTCTAATTATAGATATCAATAACTTTGTGTTTACCACAAAAACATCAACAACTACCCACCAACAATACAACAAGGTTCAATGATGAGGAATCACCATTACAATAAGCTTCATTAAGTATAACCATTACTTTATTAATCTTGTAAATAACATTGATAATTGTAACCACACCCCCTCACCCCAGGCCCCGCC